TACTAACTTATATGTAATTCTTATCGCATGAGATGCTTTAATTTAGCGGCACACTCGATTTAGTGTCACTTTCATTACGAACAAATGATGACGTTGAATCGAAGTTTGATTGTATTAAGCACATTAACAAGTCTACTCTGTTACTGTACTTTACGATAGCAAAAGACTGGAAATGCTAATACAACAAAATTTCTGTTTATAATCTTGTAGTAAGTATTGCAATACAGTAAAAACAGTATATAGGCAGATATACGAGCACATATACACATTGTATGCACAAGAATAAACATAACCTATATGTATGTGTATGTAAATTGATTTATTACAAGAATGTCATTAATTACCTCATAAGTGTGCATTCATTTTTACTGTTTTTATATTAAAATGACTCTCACTGTAATTATTAATAAAGGCATTGATTAAAATAAAGGAATAATTCAATAATTTCGATATAATATTCATAAATTTTAAATAGTAGCGGATGTGGCTGTTCTATACGATTTCAGTTCTTGGAAAAATAAAATAAATTTTAAAAAATCCAGCAACGAGATACGTAACTTTCCAGGCAAAAAGTTAAAATTGTCTGTGGCGCCATCTGTTATAAAAAGTTTTTACTAAATTATCTTATTATAAAATAGCAAAAAAATTTAGTTTTGAGTTTAAAAAAAAAATTGTAAGTGCTAATAACGAGTAAAATATTCATTAGGCTAAGTCCGAACCCACTAGAGATATAACGTACGATTCCTTCTATCTATTTACTCCTTTAACCTTTAACCATCAAAATTTAACAGCATCAATGCCTCTAATATATAAACCTCCCTGCAAAATTTCAGAAATTTTCGACAAAAGACACAGGAGTTATGAAACTTCAAAGTGGGTGAACAAAGTTGTGCCCCTCACACACACTAATATCCATACATATAGAGGGAAAAAACCCAATTTTTTGCATTTCTCGACGTTAGATTAATTAAACAATAAGGAATTCTTATTATATTACTTGTAAGCAATAAAGTAGGAATCTCCTAAATCTTTGTAAACAAATTTCGCTGACAAACAATACACAAGTATTACGCAATATACACAAATAGATACGCACAGAAATAGCAATATGTGCAAAGTATATCGTATATTACTACACATACAAGTATCCTAATATATGAATTCAGTCTCTGTATTATACGCACACATCAATCATTTAATAATCTATTTTTTAAATTTGTTTTAAATTTATATTTATTATGACATTCTAAAAAATCGTTTATGCAAATTTTTCTTTCGATATTATATTGTCACTTTCTANGTCAGGTTGGCCTCCACTAGGCCCCCCATAACAAAACTCTGGCTACGCCCATGCGTCTGGCACTGAAAGTCCAGGTTGGGGCTAATTACGCCGAATATTACTCTTAATTCTTAATTTGTATGTTTATATATTATGAAAATTATTTTGCTGAATTCGAACAATAACCTGCCTGCCATATTACTGTACACACACGAACACACCCCCATACACACACCCACCCACCCACACACACACACACACACAGAGACAATTTAATTACTATTTTACTCATTCACATGTCACATAACTTGCGAAGGAAGTTGTTATGAAAGTAATGTAGAATTGAAAAAAGTTGATATTGGTAAATACAGTTATTATTACAAATAGGGCTTGAGAGAGGTGACGAGGGGTAGTTGCCAGTCACAAACCTAAGAACCACTTAACAACGAAAGTCGTACAAATATACGAATTAAATCAATAAAGCAAATAAAAATAGATTTTTTTCTCACCGCTTATTAAAAGAAATTTTAATTTATGTGATTTTCGTATCATGTTTTTACATAAAAGCCAAAATTCCGATGTCTTTCGTATCCAAATCTTATATAAAAGCCCCTTTTATATGAAGTTCCAGACATAAAACGATACTGTTGGCCCTACTATGTGGAATTTAAATTGTAAAAATGTCAAAAACAGAATTTCGCAACTCTTATTATAATGCTAGAAATAGTACAATGTGTAAGAAAAGTTGTTTAATTCGATTTCTACATTCCTTTAAATGATTTTGTGGGTTACTTAAACACATTCTTAAAGGAATATTTTAAATTAATTAATTTCCTTTATAAAAATTTAATATGTCAAAATACAATTTCTGATTTTTTAAAATTAAACTGTAACAGTTTAATCAGTAAGTATTGTTTAATGATAAAATATAGGTCAATGTAAAGGAACACATTTATGGTCACTTTTTATAACATATGCAAAAACAAAAAGCAATTTTGAAAAAAGAAAACAGGAAATTAAGTAACGAAAACTTAAGAATTTATATATATAGGCCTATATATTTTTTTATTAAAACAGTTGGCTTAAACAAATTATCTATGTACAGTACTGTACATAAAAGTCAAATATCTATGTATGTATGTTTCATAGGTAAAGGTTCTATACCGCTCAACGTATCTGTACCAAATTTGGCATCAATATTCATCGGCATCCTACAAAAAAAATCCATCAACGAGTTGCTTAACTTTCCCGTCTACATTTGTTGGTGCCATCTGATTTGATATTTTATTTAAAAACTTTTTATATTTTTAACTATTATAAAACGACAAAAAGCTTAATTTTGAGTGTAAGAATGGGTTTTATAAAAAAATTGTAAATGTTAATAACGAGTAAAACCGTCATAAAGTCCGATCCTATTAGGGATAGGGGAAGGTGGTGCAAGATGGGGCCATGGGGTAAGACGGGGACGTCTGTTTATTCATGGTTAACGCACTTTCATCTAGCTGTTATTTGGGGAACTAAATGTCAACCTCAAAAGGGATCACGGAACGACAGAACGTTCGAATTGCTCTCTTTGTTTGGAAGTAAGACAGTTTTCCATGTTTCGGCAATACTTCATCTAATTTTACGCCCGCTACAAAGTTTCTACAAAGTAAGCATCATTGTGAACTTTTACATTACCTTTTAGATGAAAATATTATAGTATTCGAAGTACCTTTAATACTGAAATTGTTCAGATTTGAAATAAAGTTGACCCGTGTTTGCAGTCAGTATGAAAAGTGCACTTTGGGGCAAGATGGTGGGTGCAAGATGGGGTACCCCATCTTGCCCAAGGTTGGCCATGAATTCTGCTGTTGGCTAGAGGCACTGCAATATAGTGCAGTGAACTAGTTTTAAATTCGTTGTCATTGATAATTCTATATCATTTTTCGAATATATAAAATAATAAGTTTAAAAATGATATTTTTATTGAAAATGAAATATTCCACTTTTAAATCATATCTAACTGTAATAAATTTATACAGTATATACTGTATTATTTTATTATGTTTTTATGTTTTATTTTATTCGTGAAAACATTTTTTTTAAATTTAAATACTATCTTAACAAGAAATAAAATGTGAAATAAAAATTCTTTTTCACCGAAAAAATATCGTCTGCTTACAAAATAGCGAAACTGAGCATGCGCGAAGTGACAGTATCGTCTGGTAAAGTAAATAAGAATAAGTTCAAACTTTTATATTTATTTATTCGGAAAATAATAATAAATGTAGCCGCTGTGAAAATGGACACATAGTTCTTGTGCCAATATTGAAGAAAACGACAGTTTAACCATTTTAATTTATTTTCCTTGTATATAAAAATAATATTCCCATCTTATCCCACGGGTGGGGCAAGATGGTGCATTTACATATAATTTTAAAATATTAAATTTTCGTGTTTTTAAAAACGTTTTTCAAAAATTAAATTTTGTATTAAAATATTTCCAAATGTTGTACTTGCTGGGAGAAAAAAAATTATTGTTCTCATTAAAATGGTTGGCATCTTATGACTTTTCAAACCTTAACGTCCTCATCCTGCCTCACCTTCCCCTACCTACCCTTTATCTCCCCACCACTCGATCTTTAACCACCAAAATTTAATAGCGTCAATCCCCCTAATAAACAAACCTCCCTGCAAAATTTCAGAAATTTTCGACAAAAAGCACAGGAATTATTAAGAAAATCTGGGGGTTATTTTTTGTTCGATCGCCATACTTTCCCTCTGTTATATATAACAGAGAAAAAAGTACGGGAAAATAATTCTGTGGTGATCCACCCGAACCACACCTAAATCCCACTCTCTCTTAACTTAAGCCCTAGCAAGCGTTAACATAACATTGCAGTTTCATTATTGTAAATACACAGGTCAATAAATGTACACTTTGGTTAATAACACTATTGTTTATATCACCCTCACCCAACCCAATTTCACCAATCCCCACCCAATTAAAGCTATAGCAACACCAGACACACGCAGCTATTCTTCAACTCTTTAAAGAATATTGTACTCTTTCCACTATATCATATAATTTACGAGATTATCAAAGGTTTATATTAATTTAATGATAAAATATTTACGTTTATTATTAATTATAATGTATTACAGTATATTAATTTTTAAATATTACAGGGTAGTCGGAAGGTTTTAGTTAGGCTTTATTTTGTGCATTCCAAATACAACGGCTGATCCAGGAGTAAATCTCCGGAGACAATCGTCTTTATCCAGAGCTGTAGCCTTGAGGCTCAAGCCTATATGGGGAGACCGTAACCAGAATATATATAATAAGATTATAACTGTAGAATGTAGGATCTCTGCCTCCAATGCCTTGGATCCGCCCCTGTATAGTTATGAGTATAAATGGTAAATAAGTTAGCTTTTACGATGCTTAATTGACTTTTTGGCCATCCTGTATTATAGAGGGATAAATAAAAATTTTACTTAGTATATTATAAAATTTAAATAATTTATACAATTATTTAAATCTTATAAATTAAAAATAGCAAACTACTGAATAAAGTTTTGATTTTTCATCCCGTACAGCATTCTGATTACGGAAATTTAATTGTAAATTTATGTGATAAACATGTTTGAATGAAACGAATGAACTCTTAATCGATTATTTATATAAATGAAGACTTTTTGTCGATTATAAATTACGTTTTATGAAAATGATACTTACCACAATACGGAAGTTCACCAGACCATTTACCATCAGCTCCACAAGTCATGCTGCTTTGGCTAGATAAATATAATTTTAAAAAAATGAATATCAATGTCTTAGGTAAATGAATAATTAGTTATTTTTATGTAGCGTGTTATATTATTTTTATTGCAGAATTTTATCTACTTTGATAGCTTATTAAATTTGGCATAAAATGGCTTCAAAATTCTTCTTATTACTATTACCTTAGACGAAGTGAATCAAGTTGAAGGAAAGGTTATTCACTCGAGCATTGATACGTAACGCAAAGTGCTGCATAATTTTACGATCAAACTGTATAATGTGATAAAAGGGTGTAACACTTCCTTTTTTCCATTTATCTCATTCAATCTTTAATTATAATTTTAAGTATATTTTTTTTAAACTTTCAACAGTAAAAACGAGAATAAAATCAAAATTACATCATCTAATCATAATGTATAATAAGTTATTTAAAAAATTAAAGTTAAAATAACTTATTTATCTGTTTTTAATAACGCTCAAATAGTATAAACTCACATTAATTCGTTAAAAATAGGGCCTGACCAATTTTATACGTGATGACGTAACAGGAGACACTACCACAAGAGGGACAAGGTATTTCACGTTATATATAAACTATACAAAAGGAATAGATCAATTTTTACTGCTGTGGTGTGGTAGAGCCTGGATACAGTTAAAAGGTAGCATTGAGAGGACAAGGTCAAATGGCCCCACATTTATGGGGCCTCAGAGACTTATTACAAATCATTTATTCTGTCATCTTTCTTGTGTATTAAGAATATTTTTTGGTAAATGTATTTCTTATTTATTTCGTCAAATTTTAACAATTAAAAGTCAAATAATAGGGGGGAAAACAAGAAAATTTGTTCACACAAAACGAAATACAGTCGACCCCTCTATAACACTATTGATTTTTCCGTTTTATATGAATTTCATGTTGTATGAGTCACTTAGATTTTACAAATACGTGAGCCGTTCACAAACCGGCATACGTATTTGTAAAAGCTAAGTGACTCGTACAACATGGAATTCATATAAAACGGAAAAATCAACAGTGTTACAGGGGGGTCGACTGTACGATCAACTGACTTTTGGGCCATCCTTATTGAAGATTAAGTCCAAAGTTATTTGTGATGGTAATGATGATAATTCAAAGTACATAAACTTAAACAGTAAACCGACTTTCGGGCCATCTTTTATATTTTTCTGTTAGATTTTTTAAAGTAAAAATTGAAAAAAAATCATATAAATTAGATTGCTTTCATCTTCATACTTTGATGCTTCGACTTTGAATATAATAATAAATATCAGTGAGAGAGATCTAGGAAAATGTTTCTTAGAACAAGATGTTACTTAATATATATTCTCTTATACAATCGTATATTCTTCATGAATATCAATAGGAAAATTATCCATCCATACATGAAAGAATTTAGATACAGATTCCTTTGTTCACTGTTTCTCAGCACATAATATCGATAGTTTATCTCGAGAGCAATGTACTTCATTGGTGTGTGAAAATGGAAATAATATCAAAAGAAATAGATTCGAATAAATAAAATAAATTATAGGAAGAGAAGTCGGGAATGTATAATAGTTTCTACATAAAGTCTATTATGTATTTTTATAGACGAGTTATAGTGAACAGCAGATTTATGATCATTGCTCTTCATTTTTTAATCCTCAAATGTATTGCACGGTACTCGTAAATTTGGAGTAATCGTATTTATAAAATAAAAAAGTACGGCTATTATTATTCGAATGTAAAAGAAGCTAAACTAAGTATAATGAGTGATATTAAAAACACAGCTTAAATTGTATTAAGTTGCAATCTAATAAAAATTTTCTTCTTCTTCTCTAGAACTTTTCTCAATACAGTCAGTTTCTTCATTCGAAAAGGTGAACTTTAGATATGGAAAAAATGTTCTAAAATGTTCGATGTGGGTATATAAATAGAGTAACCAAAGAGCATTTCATTACAATATGAATCTTTTGAAAGAACAGATTCGCATGCTGTTGTTCTATCACTTCAAAAATGGCCAAAACGTAACCTCACGATCTCATCTGCAAGTCATTTGACGAGGACACAGTCAACAGGCACACCTACTACAATTAGTTCAAGAAATTGAAGGATACAGATTTCTGGTTTGAACTTCATCCAGGCATCAATTCCATCATTGATGACGACGTTTTCTTGCAACTAATAGATGATAATCCATGGTTGACCACCAGAGAGTTAGCATAACAACTTGAATGTTCCGTGATTAAAGAACTTCATTTAAAACCTGACAAAGTCCGATACCATCACGACAACACGCCGGCACATACAGCAAAGATGGAGAAGTTGACCAGTCTGGGTTGGAAATTTCTTAAAGCCCAGAACAATATTGCCAATATACAGTTCAAAGACACCAGTCATGATCAAGGGATTGAAAGTTTGCAACAAAGGTAGCGAGATATGACTGATATTGATGTTGATTATCTACAACAGGTGTGGCCAAACTTTTATCCCTTAGGGGCTACTTTATTGGTAAAATATAGTCTGAGGGCGACTATGAATATGGGCAAACAATTTTAGGATTTTTATATGCGCATGCGTTAACGTTTATTTGCATTGTTCATCGGGATAAATACAAACAGTATGGGTACGTTGCACAGACAGTCTATTATTGTAAGAATAAATTATCGAATTAAGATTTTTAATTTAAGTGAAAGTAAATTGTTCAACTTTAGCTTCGCGGGCTACTTTCAAAACCTTTGCGGTCGACCGGTCGACCGCGGTCTACGTGTTGGCCATCCCTGATCTACAAGATTGAACTGTAATCATTGTTGAGTTAATTGTCAATAAAGTTTTGTTTTTTCAAAATGTCTAAATTTCACCTCTATATTCTGATAAAAAGATACAAAATATTCTATTTTTAATGATAAAGAAAAGATAATTTGGAAGTTTTTATTGAATAAGGACATGAATTTTAATTAGCTTTCCGGTACACTACGTTTGCTAATCAAGATGCAAAGAAAGAATTTGATAGTGATTAAAAAGTTAAGAAATACATTTACTTTTTTAAATTTTTTTACAAAAACAGGTTTAATCTTAACCTTATTTTTAGAGAAAACATTTAGTTCTTTAACAAGGTCAAAAAAGTAAAATATCGTTTTTTAATCCTTTCGTAAGACAATTTTCACTCGGGGCCATTGCATAAATTTTATATTTAATATATTTTTTACTATTTTTTGTTCTTTTAATGAATTAGACTAAACTTACTAAGTTTATGAGTTGATTATTATGCAATCCACTTAGACTATAGGTTAATTAATTAACTGTACTTTAGCGGGAATGATTAATTAATTAATTCGAAAACAGCTTAAGATATATAAATAAGTTCTAGTGCCTCTCAATAAGCCCACTTACTAAGTGATTTCTTCACAATTTTTCTCCTTAAGGAAGTGGCTGAGTGGATTAACCACTGAATACTGGTCGTGAGTTTGCACCTCACTAACGGGATGGTCCTATGGAGTTTTACAGATTTCTTTACGTGTCTAAGACCTAAATAGGAGCCAGTTTTCCAAAGACCGGGAGGCATCTCCCTTGGCAGACTGCCTGTGTTGCATTGCCATATTCCATCAAACCAATCTAAACCTTATGGGCGGGGTTGACTCACAATGGGATCACTCAGCTCGGGCGAGTGATGAAGAACGACACCCTGAAGTTATGGGGAGAAGTCTGAGACAGATTCGAATCCGATTTTCCCATGATTTTTTGCGGTGGATCCGGGTTTGAATCCGATAAGATGAAGTTCTCCACCCAACAACTTGGTAGAAGGGAACCAACCAAATTCTACTGTTTGACTTTTAAAATTCAAAAATAAATTAAATTAATTATTAAAATATTATTGAAAGAAAACAGTTACTCAGAAACTTCTTTACAACTTACTATAATTGGATAGATGTAAACTATAAGCAAATGACACTAGAAACGGTAATTAAATTATATAAAATAACTAATTTATTAATTGTGATTAAAAATGTATAAAATTTATATTATTATTTCTAAATAAATAATAAATAAATGTCTTATCAGTCGCTTTAAACAGAGCTTAAATCCTGTTATAAATTCCTGTATACAAATAGGTTTCTGCTTATAATCCAACACATCCCGTTCTGCAATTTAAAATTTGTCGTGATTCCATATTATATCTGTCACGACATCAGGGATACGTTTAAGCATAGAATTAGGAGTTATTACTTCGAGCGGAGACAAAAAATACATAAAAAATAAAACGAAAATTACATCAAATCTATTCTAATTACATGCTTAGAAAACAAAAGGATTTGACACGAACATGAGAATATCCCTTATAATTTTACAAATAAGGTAGCCCCCGCATAACGCGATAAAAAACTGCGAAACATCCCCTTATAATGAGAAACGTATCACTCACATTGTTTGGGGTTTACTGTGTATGATTTCATACGTCAAATTCTTACTAAGTTATTGTGTATATATAATTTCTGTACTTTTTAAAAAGAATAAATTCTAGTTATGGGCTCTCTAACGCACTTTCAATGGTCAAATGTAATATATTTCTTTTAAAAATACAGTCAAACTTCGATATAACGTCGTCTTAAAGTCTCTTAGTAAATCACTAATAAATACTGAACGAATTTCCTCCATAAATAATAAATAGAAACTCATTGTGTGAATTACTAAATATACGATTTCGAACTGAAAACAGTAGCATTATTACCAAAATCACGTGATTTTAAAAATCCCAAACTCAAACTTGAGTGTAGATCTCATTACTAACTTATATGTAATTCTTATCGCATGAGATGCTTTAATTTAGCGGCACACTCGATTTAGTGTCACTTTCATTACGAACAAATGATGACGTTGAATCGAAGTTTGATTGTATTAAGCACATTAACAAGTCTACTCTGTTACTGTACTTTACGATAGCAAAAGACTGGAAATGCTAATACAACAAAATTTCTGTTTATAATCTTGTAGTAAGTATTGCAATACAGTAAAAACAGTATATAGGCAGATATACGAGCACATATACACATTGTATGCACAAGAATAAACATAACCTATATGTATGTGTATGTAAATTGATTTATTACAAGAATGTCATTAATTACCTCATAAGTGTGCATTCATTTTTACTGTTTTTATATTAAAATGACTCTCACTGTAATTATTAATAAAGGCATTGATTAAAATAAAGGAATAATTCAATAATTTCGATATAATATTCATAAATTTTAAATAGTAGCGGATGTGGCTGTTCTATACGATTTCAGTTCTTGGAAAAATAAAATAAATTTTAAAAAATCCAGCAACGAGATGCGTAACTTTCCAGGCAAAAAGTTAAAATTGTCTGTGGCGCCATCTGTTATAAAAAGTTTTTACTAAATTATCTTATTATAAAATAGCAAAAAAATTTAGTTTTGAGTTTAAAAAAAAAATTGTAAGTGCTAATAACGAGTAAAATATTCATTAGGCTAAGTCCGAACCCACTAGAGATATAACGTACGATTCCTTCTATCTATTTACTCCTTTAACCTTTAACCATCAAAATTTAACAGCATCAATGCCTCTAATATATAAACCTCCCTGCAAAATTTCAGAAATTTTCGACAAAAGACACAGGAGTTATGAAACTTCAAAGTGGGTGAACAAAGTTGTGCCCCTCACACACACTAATATCCATACATATAGAGGGAAAAAACCCAATTTTTTGCATTTCTCGACGTTAGATTAATTAAACAATAAGGAATTCTTATTATATTACTTGTAAGCAATAAAGTAGGAATCTCCTAAATCTTTGTAAACAAATTTCGCTGACAAACAATACACAAGTATTACGCAATATACACAAATAGATACGCACAGAAATAGCAATATGTGCAAAGTATATCGTATATTACTACACATACAAGTATCCTAATATATGAATTCAGTCTCTGTATTATACGCACACATCAATCATTTAATAATCTATTTTTTAAATTTGTTTTAAATTTATATATATTATGACATTCTAAAAAATCGTTTATGCAAATTTTTCTTTCGATATTATATTGTCACTTTTTAACAATAAAATGGGAATTTTACTTGCTTTTTAAAGTAAAATTTCTCTTTCTTTTAATGAAAAGTTAAGAGAAATGAAATAAAATAATAAGTTTATATCAAAAAAATATCTGCCATTATATGTGTTACATTATTAATAAATTAATAAAACGTATACTTTTATTGTCTGAAATAATAATTTTTTTTTTTTTACTTTTTTGGATTCAGGGGGTCGCAAAACGTCGAGATTTTAAAAGACCAGGAGGGTCAACTATGACACGATTACAATATTTTCCCCTCTGTAACAACAGCTGGGGAAAGTAATAATGCTTCTTATCTTACGAATAATCCGTTATTTTATAAATATAAGAAATTCTTTTGTATGTACATTTATGATATTTTACTGATAAACTTCTAAGAAAAGTCGTGTCAAATTATCAAGAAATACAAAAAGAAACAATGAGAAAAGATACAAAAAGTAATTATTCGACTAATTAATAATCAATACTGTATTTTAGACTTATAAGAAGCTTCTAGAGATGAATTATCCTTGCTGTTGTCTTAAATTGTAATATACAAGAAGTCCCACAATAAATTTAACAATAATAAATTTAAAAGAGGGTGGCCTTAAGCGAAGTCCTGTTTTGCTATGTGTATATCCGGCCCCATTTATAAATTCGATACAAGCAATACACCCCAAAACACTGCTCCAAAGTATATTTAATATTTCTTATATATTGATGGTAATTTTATACTGAGAGTTTACACTTGTAAGATCATCCACATTTGAGAAAATTAAAATTCTGGAAAAAATATTGAAATTCTACGTATCTATTGAATTTTTATTGACATTTTATATTTCATTTTAAATATAATTTTGTTTTAATAAAACATTATTATAAGCTAGTCCTTCTTACATCCATTTTTGATTGAATGATCATGGCTCATAATAATAATATTATTATTATTCTATTATTTTAAATAATTCAAACATGAGATTATTTTTTATTCAAATGAATAATTGTTCACTTATAAAAAAAAATTAAGAGCAACTGAAATGCATTCTTCTTAAGCATTGGGGAAATTCTCAAGTTGTTGCATTGATTCTAAATGAAGGATATTCATAAAAATTTCTTTTGAAAGCAATTTATTGATTTATTTTCTAAGAATAAATCGTGTCAAATTATCCGAAAAATACGGTAATAAATGTTATAAAAGCGTAGACAAAAGAATCTTTTCTATTTATAGAATAATGAATTCTTTGAAAGATACGCAAGTTATCTTTAGAATGGTAATGTTTCTAAGAACTCTTATAGAAAATAAAATAATTTTAATTAAATTTTACTTCAATTTTAATATATTTAATTCTGAAATAACTATAATTAATAAATTGAAGATAATTCCTATGATCTGATTGAGCCCACAATGGGTATAATCCGTATAAAAATAAGGTCCTCTTAGTATCCACAGAGCAGAAAGAGCCAGAAATAAAAAGACAAATTTAAAAGATGATTATCATTAAATTAAGATTATAAAAGCTATTAAGATTATCATTGTCCTTTTATCGGCTCCTTCTCTCATTCACTCGACTCCAGTTAATCCCGGCTGAATGGATAACATCATTGAATACTAGTAAGAGTGCCACGTGGCCAACCCGTTCGCCCCCCCCCCGGCCAACGGGCTGGCCACGTGAAGTTTTCCGGGTTTTCTTCACGTTTGTAACAGGGGCCAGTTTCCCATATAAAGTCCTCCCAGTAGACTTTCCCCTCGATAGGTCGCCCACGTGTCGCGTTGTCGAATACCAACAAACAAACAAACCAGTTTATCCCACAGGTTCTTGATTAGATTAAAATCTAGAATCTGCTCTAATTAATATACTTTGTTATTTTGGATTCTGATATCATAAAACTGATATATTACAATACATAACACGGTATGGAGTATTGTTTCATTAATAAGAATATGGGTTATTCTTAAAGTGCGGCCTTATGGTAGGAACAGATGGATGTCAACAACGTGTAGGTAGACCTTGGCCTTCAGGAATTTTCGAAACCATCAATGATCCAAGGACAAAATCGTGAAAAACTATTTTAGATCGTCGTTTTCAGATATTAACGACAAAATAATTCACCTAATTAACAGGTGAGAATATTTTGTAATGGAAATTATAAGCCCTGATCCAATCATTTGCTAAATTCGTGATTTGGTTCCATCCCATATTATCCACCCCTTTATGATCCCGTCCGAACTTATAATGGTCACGATAAAGGCCCTTTGAGGCCCACAAAATAGAAAAAAAATTCAAAAGAAAAAGAACAATTTTGGTATGTTTATATCAATAATTAGAAAATAATTTTAAATATATTATACTCACCCAAATAATTGATAGCCATCATCACACGTATAAGTAGCAGCGGTCCCTGCTGTTATATTTTCGTTAGAAAGTGCCACCGTCGCGTATAATGGTATCGCAGGTTGTGGACAAATTTGAGCTTGAAAGAAAAAATAATAATAATAATAATTAAAATATAAATTCTTTTATTTATCAATAAAATAAAATTTTAAAAGTTATAATTTCTAATATAATTTAAAATCTTCATTTGCATTAACATAATGACAGCTGTAAAGGAGGTCAAGGTGTACCACTTAACATTAAGCGATGTCTTAAGGTTAAATACGTGAAGCTTGTGAAATAATTAGAATTCCTAAATTTAATTTTATATTTCTTGAAATAACAAGCATTATTTCACTTATGTTTATTAAAGTAAATTTAAATTTTCTTAAATATTTTATGTTTACGATGTTGTACAGATTGTACAGAATAATATTTTTATTAACAGATCCATACAGGCATTTCGCTGTATTGATGATCTGTATATTATCGAAGAAAATCAGTATCAGAACAACTTCGTTAAGGCCCGGGACATAAAGAGACCTCAAAGTTTATTTATTTGTGTAAAACAATTGATATGAAAGCGATAATAATTGAAAATTTTTCCGGTGAAAGATGAAAAATCTGTTTTATTTTATTTTATTAATTTTACTGTATAATTTTCATAATTTTTGAATAAGGATGAGGTCCCACACTTGTGTCTAACTCGTGCCCCATCTCACCTCTCTCAAAGCTGATTCAATAGAGCAAATAGAAACGATAGTAAGGTCCTTATAGAAGACGCAAACCTATATTCACCCACAGTACCACTGTGAATGAAAGTAAATTTTTAAATGTTGTGTATACATATGTATAAGTGCATTTGTCACATTCAAATCTTTATCCTTGATTGAGTTTTTCTTCGTTTATTTATTTATAAAGGTAAGGGGACCAGGACACCTGTACCCTTGGTTATGCTAATAACTTGATTGTTATTTATTTAAAAATAAGTTCAGCATATTGAATGGAAAGTTCATAACAAAAATATTGTAAAATTACATCATAATCACTTGCTTGTTTAACAGTTATCAACAAACATTGAATTACAATATTAATATATTGTACTGTATATATTTTTCTAACACGTCCTTCATTGCTATTGTCGTACCTAATTGTTAGGGGAAGGAATGGAGATTACATTACAATTTATTAACCTATATTTATTGTTTTATTGAGACATTGTATATAAAATTATTAATTTATATTTAAAATCGTACAAAAGTTTCCTATTGATTTTAATTTTATATTTTACATTCACAACTGAATTTACACCTAAGCTAAATACAGGATACAACTTAGGGCCTAGTTCCGTCTTTAAGAAAAAATTATGTGATATCTACTATAACTATATATACTACTACTACTATATACACATGTGACGTTTCCTTATTACATAAGACTATTCATGTATAATTTTGGTCTTATTAATAGCGAAGACCTCTTCAATATTGTAGCTTGGCACACTATTCGATAGAATAGCAGAGTCACTTTTAACTAGGATCCACTATACCAGGGGTAGGAATTAGCGGCTCGCGAGCCGCATGCGGCTCTTCGGACATGAACTCCAATTTCACCTCTCCTCATTTCACCACAGCCTTATAACTTATGAATTTATGAGATAGAGCCGCCGAACAAACTTCGACTCGTACGCCGTCCGCACATGACCACACTAGCGTTGATCAATATGAGTCGCATAAGAGTGGTAGCATTTGAAGAATATCTATATATATAACACATTGAACGCGTGTCCGCCCATCCGTGTAACGTTATGCCAAAAACGTCCACTAGAGGCGTCCCTGTCGTGTGTCGTATTTCGCACATTTAAATTAACATGCGACTCTCTGGTATTTTTCTTATCCTGTTTTCATGATAATTTGACTCTTCTCACTTGACAAACTGCTGACCCCTGCACTATACTAATTACTAACATAGCTTGAACCACTATTTCGAAGAAAAGCGCTTTTCTATGTTATAGAATATGGTTGTAATAAGTCTAAACCTGACCCTATCCATATAATTTTTCCGAACGGCCAGTTTTTATGTTCCTATTAGTGTCCGTTATTCAGAGTTTCGTTATATCGTATATTTTATTTATTCATTTACTTCCAATAAACCGACCCTACTCGAGAGATGACACGATCCTCATCTCTCCATCCTCTCGAATTTAATCACCAAAATTTAATAGCACCAATGCTCCTAATACACAAACTTCCCTGTAAAATTTCAGAAATTTTCGACAAAAGAAACAGGAGTTATTAAATTTTAAAATGGGTGAACAAAACTGTGTTCCCCATACACATAAACATCCATATAACGCCTATGCTATACTAGCAATCTAGAGTCTCCAGATGTGGCTCAAATTTAAATTTGGACCATATCTGAAGCCTAAATTTGGGGCCCCTGCTGGTGGGGAACCCAGACAATTGCCCTTTTTGGCCATAGGATAACGCGCTAGTGATCAAAATCCACCCACAACCGTCACCCATATAAAAAAATCCCCAACATTTTTGGGGATTTTTCAAGACGTTTCGAGGTTCAGAGTCCAAAAATGTAAAATCTTGGTGGTTCATTTTTTTGACTGATCGTCATATTTTCCTTCTGAGAAAGAATAATATTAATTTTAGAGTAGAAAACAGTAAAAATTGAAAATTGTATTACCTTTTCTTTTCAGTACAACTGATTTATTTATTTGTTAAGAAAATAAATGTATAGCCAATTCGAAACTGATAACTGGTTTCGTGGCATAATTTTACTGTATTTTATTTTATTTTAAAGATAAGCAAACACTTGTTCTTCAGGTAAAAAGATATCAAAATAATCTTTTCAGTTTTTACCATTTTTAAGTTCTAAAATTAAAATTTTTAGACAAGTAAAGTTTTAAAAAATCTAGAGATTTAATCTTTCAGTATATACTGNTACGGAAATTTAATTGTAAATTTATGTGATAAACATGTTTGAATGAAACGAATGAACTCTTAATCGATTATTTATATAAATGAAGACTTTTTGTCGATTATAAATTACGTTTTATGAAAATGATACTTACCACAATACGGAAGTTCACCAGACCATTTACCATCAGCTCCACAAGTCATGCTGCTTTGGCTAGATAAATATAATTTTAAAAAAATGAATATCAATGTCTTAGGTAAATGAATAATTAGTTATTTTTATGTAGCGTGTTATATTATTTTTATTGCAGAATTTTATCTACTTTGATAGCTTATTAAATTTGGCATAAAATGGCTTCAAAATTCTTCTTATTACTATTACCTTAGACGAAGTGAATCAAGTTGAAGGAAAGGTTATTCACTCGAGCATTGATACGTAACGCAAAGTGCTGCATAATTTTACGATCAAACTGTATAATGTGATAAAAGGGTGTAACACTTCCTTTTTTCCATTTATCTCATTCAATCTTTAATTATAATTTTAAGTATATTTTTTTTAAACTTTCAACAGTAAAAACGAGAATAAAATCAAAATTACATCATCTAATCATAATGTATAATAAGTTATTTAAAAAATTAAAGTTAAAATAACTTATTTATCTGTTTTTAATAACGCTCAAATAGTATAAACTCACATTAATTCGTTAAAAATAGGGCCTGACCAATTTTATACGTGATGACGTAACAGGAGACACTACCACAAGAGGGACAAGGTATTTCACGTTATATATAAACTATACAAAAGGAATAGATCAATTTTTACTGCTGTGGTGTGGTAGAGCCTGGATACAGTTAAAAGGTAGCATTGAGAGGACAAGGTCAAATGGCCCCACATTTATGGGGCCTCAGAGACTTATTACAAATCATTTATTCTGTCATCTTTCTTGTGTATTAAGAATATTTTTTGGTAAATGTATTTCTTATTTATTTCGTCAAATTTTAACAATTAAAAGTCAAATAATAGGGGGGAAAACAAGAAAATTTGTTCACACAAAACGAAATACAGTCGACCCCTCTATAACACTATTGATTTTTCCGTTTTATATGAATTTCATGTTGTATGAGTCACTTAGATTTTACAAATACGTGAGCCGTTCACAAACCGGCATACGTATTTGTAAAAGCTAAGTGACTCGTACAACATGGAATTCATATAAAACGGAAAAATCAACAGTGTTACAGGGGGGTCGACTGTACGATCAACTGACTTTTGGGCCATCCTTATTGAAGATTAAGTCCAAAGTTATTTGTGATGGTAATGATGATAATTCAAAGTACATAAACTTAAACAGTAAACCGACTTTCGGGCCATCTTTTATATTTTTCTGTTAGATTTTTTAAAGTAAAAATTGAAAAAAAATCATATAAATTAGATTGCTTTCATCTTCATACTTTGATGCTTCGACTTTGAATATAATAATAAATATCAGTGAGAGAGATCTAGGAAAATGTTTCTTAGAACAAGATGTTACTTAATATATATTCTCTTATACAATCGTATATTCTTCATGAATATCAATAGGAAAATTATCCATCCATACATGAAAGAATTTAGATACAGATTCCTTTGTTCACTGTTTCTCAGCACATAATATCGATAGTTTATCTCGAGAGCAATGTACTTCATTGGTGTGTGAAAATGGAAATAATATCAAAAGAAATAGATTCGAATAAATAAAATAAATTATAGGAAGAGAAGTCGGGAATGTATAATAGTTTCTACATAAAGTCTATTATGTATTTTTATAGACGAGTTATAGTGAACAGCAGATTTATGATCATTGCTCTTCATTTTTTAATCCTCAAATGTATTGCACGGTACTCGTAAATTTGGAGTAATCGTATTTATAAAATAAAAAAGTACGGCTATTATTATTCGAATGTAAAAGAAGCTAAACTAAGTATAATGAGTGATATTAAAAACACAGCTTAAATTGTATTAAGTTGCAATCTAATAAAAATTTTCTTCTTCTTCTCTAGAACTTTTCTCAATACAGTCAGTTTCTTCATTCGAAAAGGTGAACTTTAGATATGGAAAAAATGTTCTAAAATGTTCGATGTGGGTATATAAATAGAGTAACCAAAGAGCATTTCATTACAATATGAATCTTTTGAAAGAACAGATTCGCATGCTGTTGTTCTATCACTTCAAAAATGGCCAAAACGTAACCTCACGATCTCATCTGCAAGTCATTTGACGAGGACACAGTCAACAGGCACACCTACTACAATTAGTTCAAGAAATTGAAGGATACAGATTTCTGGTTTGAACTTCATCCAGGCATCAATTCCATCATTGATGACGACGTTTTCTTGCAACTAATAGATGATAATCCATGGTTGACCACCAGAGAGTTAGCATAACAACTTGAATGTTCCGTGATTAAAGAACTTCATTTAAAACCTGACAAAGTCCGATACCATCACGACAACACGCCGGCACATACAGCAAAGATGGAGAAGTTGACCAGTCTGGGTTGGAAATTTCTTAAAGCCCAGAACAATATTGCCAATATACAGTTCAAAGACACCAGTCATGATCAAGGGATTGAAAGTTTGCAACAAAGGTAGCGAGATATGACTGATATTGATGTTGATTATCTACAACAGGTGTGGCCAAACTTTTATCCCTTAGGGGCTACTTTATTGGTAAAATATAGTCTGAGGGCGACTATGAATATGGGCAAACAATTTTAGGATTTTTATATGCGCATGCGTTAACGTTTATTTGCATTGTTCATCGGGATAAATACAAACAGTATGGGTACGTTGCACAGACAGTCTATTATTGTAAGAATAAATTATCGAATTAAGATTTTTAATTTAAGTGAAAGTAAATTGTTCAACTTTAGCTTCGCGGGCTACTTTCAAAACCTTTGCGGTCGACCGGTCGACCGCGGTCTACGTGTTGGCCATCCCTGATCTACAAGATTGAACTGTAATCATTGTTGAGTTAATTGTCAATAAAGTTTTGTTTTTTCAAAATGTCTAAATTTCACCTCTATATTCTGATAAAAAGATACAAAATATTCTATTTTTAATGATAAAGAAAAGATAATTTGGAAGTTTTTATTGAATAAGGACATGAATTTTAATTAGCTTTCCGGTACACTACGTTTGCTAATCAAGATGCAAAGAAAGAATTTGATAGTGATTAAAAAGTTAAGAAATACATTTACTTTTTTAAATTTTTTTACAAAAACAGGTTTAATCTTAACCTTATTTTTAGAGAAAACATTTAGTTCTTTAACAAGGTCAAAAAAGTAAAATATCGTTTTTTAATCCTTTCGTAAGACAATTTTCACTCGGGGCCATTGCATAAATTTTATATTTAATATATTTTTTACTATTTTTTGTTCTTTTAATGAATTAGACTAAACTTACTAAGTTTATGAGTTGATTATTATGCAATCCACTTAGACTATAGGTTAATTAATTAACTGTACTTTAGCGGGAATGATTAATTAATTAATTCGAAAACAGCTTAAGATATATAAATAAGTTCTAGTGCCTCTCAATAAGCCCACTTACTAAGTGATTTCTTCACAATTTTTCTCCTTAAGGAAGTGGCTGAGTGGATTAACCACTGAATACTGGTCGTGAGTTTGCACCTCACTAACGGGATGGTCCTATGGAGTTTTACAGATTTCTTTACGTGTCTAAGACCTAAATAGGAGCCAGTTTTCCAAAGACCGGGAGGCATCTCCCTTGGCAGACTGCCTGTGTTGCATTGCCATATTCCATCAAACCAATCTAAACCTTATGGGCGGGGTTGACTCACAATGGGATCACTCATCTCGGGCGAGTGATGAAGAACGACACCCTGAAGTTATGGAGAGAAGTCTGAGACAGATTCGAATCCGATTTTCCCATGATTTTTTGCGGTGGATCCGGGTTTGAATCCGATAAGATGAAGTTCTCCACCCAACAACTTGGTAGAAGGGAACCAACCAAATTCTACTGTTTGACTTTTAAAATTCAAAAATAAATTAAATTAATTATTAAAATATTATTGAAAGAAAACAGTTACTCAGAAACTTCTTTACAAATAATAGGGGGGAAAACAAGAAAATTTGTTCACACAAAACGAAATACAGTCGACCCCTCTATAACACTATTGATTTTTCCGTTTTATATGAATTTCATGTTGTATGAGTCACTTAGATTTTACAAATACGTGAGCCGTTCACAAACCGGCATACGTATTTGTAAAAGCTAAGTGACTCGTACAACATGGAATTCATATAAAACGGAAAAATCAACAGTGTTACAGGGGGGTCGACTGTACGATCAACTGACTTTTGGGCCATCCTTATTGAAGATTAAGTCCAAAGTTATTTGTGATGGTAATGATGATAATTCAAAGTACATAAACTTAAACAGTAAACCGACTTTCGGGCCATCTTTTATATTTTTCTGTTAGATTTTTTAAAGTAAAAATTGAAAAAAAATCATATAAATTAGATTGCTTTCATCTTCATACTTTGATGCTTCGACTTTGAATATAATAATAAATATCAGTGAGAGAGATCTAGGAAAATGTTTCTTAGAACAAGATGTTACTTAATATATATTCTCTTATACAATCGTATATTCTTCATGAATATCAATAGGAAAATTATCCATCCATACATGAAAGAATTTAGATACAGATTCCTTTGTTCACTGTTTCTCAGCACATAATATCGATAGTTTATCTCGAGAGCAATGTACTTCATTGGTGTGTGAAAATGGAAATAATATCAAAAGAAATAGATTCGAATAAATAAAATAAATTATAGGAAGAGAAGTCGGGAATGTATAATAGTTTCTACATAAAGTCTATTATGTATTTTTATAGACGAGTTATAGTGAACAGCAGATTTATGATCATTGCTCTTCATTTTTTAATCCTCAAATGTATTGCACGGTACTCGTAAATTTGGAGTAATCGTATTTATAAAATAAAAAAGTACGGCTATTATTATTCGAATGTAAAAGAAGCTAAACTAAGTATAATGAGTGATATTAAAAACACAGCTTAAATTGTATTAAGTTGCAATCTAATAAAAATTTTCTTCTTCTTCTCTAGAACTTTTCTCAATACAGTCAGTTTCTTCATTCGAAAAGGTGAACTTTAGATATGGAAAAAATGTTCTAAAATGTTCGATGTGG